GGCCGCCGAGGATTGCGGCGCGGGTCAAAGACCTCAAGAAGCGGGCGGTGAGGCCATGATTTCCGAAGAGGCCTCCGCCACCAGTAGCGAGGACGAATCATCCACCAGTAGCGATATTCCTCCGTTGCCGATACAGTTTGCCTGGGGTAAACCGATCAAGTAACGCTCTTACGATCTGCTCGCTTTTATTACCCTTCGTAAGAGTTTCTGCTGAAGAAGAACCCGATCGGGACACGTCAGTTTGTTCGGTAATTCCATGACTCTTCGTGGCAATTACGCCAACCATTTTCCAAGGATAACGATATCATTTTTACGAAAAGGAATATCAACGTTCATGCTGTTGTTTCAAATGTACGCGCACTTTTTCTATTACTTCGGTACCTGTAACTTGTACGTTTCGGAAGAGAAGAGATATGAGTAGCGTAGCTTTCTACCAAAAGTTATTATACATGTTAAAGCGTGCGGGTAGTCCCGTGTTTGTCGGGCACCCGAGAATGTGAGTCGGAAAAATTATAGCGACATCGGGCACGTTTGTCCATGCGGGCACTTCGGACTACAAAACTTGCGAATATTCTAGGTTTAATTCGGGATTGGTTTAAAATGAATCGTATCGTGTTTCGCGAATATTAAATCGTTTTAGGATATTTCATTCATTTTATGTTAGAAATTAACAAATTTCCAAGTATTCGAATTCCCAAATCCCGCCCGATCCCGCCCGAGTTTTTTCGAACCATTTCGGCTACTCACATATCCCTAATACAAGTACTGTACCTGCCTCACAAGAAGGGACGCGAAATGCACGCTTAATTGGTCAAAAAAGTGGTACACAAAAATCATACAGATTAGAGACCTGTGCAGTGTATGTTGTCCCGAAGCATCTTGCGAAACATACACAGTACATACGTTATTTGAAAGTGTTTTGCGTAATATCTTGCGTCGTAGCCGAATCGCGCGAATATAAAGAAGTTAGGCCTTTATTTAAGCGTTTAAATTAGAGATACGGTGTTTTTAAGATGTGCTGGTGTTTTTTAAATCATAACTATGTTATTGCGATTGGTAAACTGACTTTACGTCTGCTTATCGCGGGTCGTCATTCTCTCTATTTCCGGGACTTCAGTACACGAAAGATCGCACAATACAGCCTTGTTTGTTAATCCATTTGTTGTATCGATGTTTTTCTTTTATTTTTAATGTATACAAGCGTATATATACAAATACACATACGTTTGCAATTGCAAAGTATGTATATTTTTTGCGATCATAAGTACTAAGAGTTATTTTGTTCATTTATTTTGTACAAGGAAAGGGTTGGAAAGAAATCAGAGAATACGTCTTGATTGTCACGTATCTTATGCGTCCTTTTAGATAGAAAAAATGCGCGTAAATATGCAATTAATTTACTTTGAAAAATCTTCTGTCAATTTTTGACAAAGATGTCGCAGGCTATTGGCGGCCACGAGCCATGTATCTCTCAGAAAACCGAATCGAGTCGGGTCACTGTTTATTTAATTCGTGACACTTTTACACATGTCCGTTTTATAAGGTATGATGCGTTTATATTACGTCTGTACATAAACGACAACGATGTTTATAAATTAATTAGTCTTTATCGCAAAATATTGTAAATAGACAACGACCGTCAAATCGATCCTATCCTCGACAAAAGGAAAAGCAAAAGTACCCAAGAGAAAAAAAAACGTTGATGAGGAGGCATTCACTGTGCTTACTGAAAAAAAAGGAAACTATTCGTCATTGATGTGCAGCTTACCGAACAGTACGATTAATTGTGGTTTGTTGCATTTAAATCAAGATTACTTGCCAATCGTTTCAAATGTAATGCATAATTAACACGTGAAATTATCATTTTTGTGTAACATTGAAATTTGATTTGGCGGTAACATTGCTTACGCAAAAACGTATAGCATTCGTAATAAATATTGTACAACTTCGATGTGGAAAGAGGACTAACTAACAGCGTTCTTAACGTTATACGTTTTATTGCCAAATACTGATGAATCGATATATTTATCTGTATTCTCTTTTACGCGCAACATCAGATTTACAGATAATATGCTATTTCAGGTGCAACTTGTTAACCCAACTACTATACGTTGACAAATAGTCAGTTGGGTAGAGTTGATTAAAAAAAAGAAAAAAGTAAAAAAAAAAGAAAGAAAGAAACTCCGTTCCATGGATAACAGGAAAAGTATGTTCGGTAGCAGTAGTGTAGGAATAATTGGAAGATGTCGAATATAAGAAAAAGCAAGTATTATTCGCCAAGAAGTGTGTTTTCTCTCACATGTGCTGGCAAATTCAATGTATTATATACCTATCAAATAAATATTATCTAAATTAAAAAGAAATTTTATTCATTCCCTATAACTTAACAATTATCCCCACTTAATGGTTGAACCAATTAATAATTTATATTAACTATTTTAATTTTACATGATTTATTGCTTATTATTTTCTCCCAACCAATCTGATACTTTAACACAAGATGTCGCACGTGTTGATTCTTTGTTGACAATAGGTCCAGTAGAATGGGTCAAGAATTTATTGACATTGCACTTATTCCTGTGCTTGTGTATTTTGTTTATGGTTTTAATATGGTTCGTGGTTAGGTTTCTGTTTGCAGGACCAGCACGATTAAAACATAAACTTCAGTATTCAATGTTTTTCTGTAACTTGTTTACTCAAAAGAACAGTTTTAATAATGGAAAACTCGAAAGTAGAAAAAAGAGGTATGTCAGACGAATTTGACATAAAACCACTAGAACCAATTCTAGTAAAGGTTAATAAAACTGGTTGCTCTGCTCATGACATTCACATTGACAAAAATGAGGTATTAATAAACATCAAATGATTGTTTTACTGATTTCAATCTTTATTTCCTCCATTTAATCAATATAAACTTTCCAACCTTTCTAATAGTTTAGAATAGGTCGAGCAAGGGAGAACGATGAAATTATTTTGGATACAATGATATCTAGAAAACATTGTATTTTAAGGTGTACAGGAAATGAAGAATGGGTGATAAAAGATATAAGCTCTTCTATTACATTAGTTAACAATACTCCTCTTTCATCCGGTATAAGTAAGAGACTGTCTGATGGAGATGTTATACAGTTTAGTCAATCTGAGAAATATAAATATATTTTTACGCTTGTTTCTAAGAATGAACATAGAATTAAGAGACCAAAATTAGATGAACAAATACTTGACAATGTTCGTATAGAACAGAAGACATTTGCAGAAAATCAGGAGTGTCAAAAGAAAGTTCTTAAGGATAAGTTAGAAATAAAACAAAAGGAACAAGATGAATTAAAACTACAATTGAGCCAACTTTTAAATCAACAACCTATTTCGCAAGAAGAAACAGAGGATCTTCAAAAACAGATTACAGTGTTAGAAAGTAAAATAGAAGATGGTAATATTGAAAAGCAGCAGTTACACAAAGTGTATGCTGAACTGTTAGAGAAGCTAGAAAATGAGAGGATTCAATTTGAAAAACAATTAGATGAGGAGAAAAAAAAATGGCAAGAAGCATTAAATGTAAGCAAACAGGAAAAAGAGATGTTAGAAATGAAAATGAAAGAACAGATGGAAAATTGGAGAAAAGAACAACAGGCTGAATGGAAAAATGTTATGGAAAATGTAGTTAAGGAAGAAAAAAATATACAAGCTCAATTACTAAATGAAAAAACTATTTTGGAGGAAAAGCTAAAGGAAACAGAGAAAGCTTTAAAAGAACAGGAAGCTAAAGTAGAAACAATACAAAACACAGGTATTATTTCATTTATAAATAAGCTCTTAAATTTTTAACTAGGAAATAAGAAGTTGACTGACTTTTTATTTACAGAGGCAGGACCTTCTGATAAGGCCAGTGACAGTTGTATATTTTTAGAAATTGTTGATCCTTCTTCTAAACTTCATATCTTAGACACCATAGATTTAACAGCTGCTACTCAGGTTAGCGCTGATCCTAGTCAAACAGAAAATGTACTTCATAAAGTTGATGATATCATGGATGAACAATTAACATGTAGTATATGTTCAGAATTGTTTGTGCAGGCAACAACTTTAAGTTGTATGCATACATTTTGTCATCATTGTATAAATTCTTGGATTAAGAAGCGAAATGAATGTCCGGTGTGTAGAACACCTGTGACTTCAATGAATAGGTCTTTAGTTCTTGATAATTTTATTGATAGTATAATTGAGAATTTACCAACTCGATTTAAAGAAAGACGAAAACAAACGATAAATGAAAGAAGAGGTAACTATATTAGAAAATAGTATCTATAATTTTTAAATACATATTATCTAAATGATTTTATAATGTTTCAGCGCTCGAAATGCCTAAAAAACGTCCTACAAAAAGAAAGAAAACTTAATTAACAGTAATATCTCCTGGATAAGAATATTTATATACTGTTATAAACATAGTTTCCTTGTATTACTATTTTTTAAATATACATAGTACTATCACATGATATAATAACGTACAAATTTAATATAAAACTATAATTTTTTATCTAATATTTCATAAACAGTGATGATTGTTCAGTTTTTATACAGTGGAAATCAAATCTTATAAATCTTGTATTGTGCCATTATTAGTGAGTTTTGAAATCATTAAACTTTCGGTGGAAGCGAATGTATTCTGTATACACAGAGTGAGTCATTTATCTTTTGGAAAGAGGCAATTTTTTATTAAGTTTATTTAAAGCGAGCATCAATATAGAATTAAAACACAAGAAAGAAGTTTACATATTGTTTAAATTAATGTACACATTGTATAATTTTGATTAAGAATATAAGCTGCAAAGCATAAAAATACATTTTAAATCTATCCTGTTTCCCACCGATTGAACAAAGACGCCTCCTACATGCACCATGTTAAACTGTTTCATGGTATTATTTGTTCTACAATAGATCGTATTCAATTTGCGCACCTCGACTAACTTTAGTAGGCTCCCCACCACATTCTGCTGTCTCACTATCATACGCTTTCTATTCCGTTGGTTATATATACGGTGGACAAAATATACAAATAATACAAAATTATCAATACAACATTATCTCTATCTACGACATTTCACCGAAACTTTCAAATTCTGAAATTTCTAAATTTTCGAATTTCCAAATTTCCAAATTTTAAAGTTCTGAAAAGTTCAGAATATAGAAAGCCGGAAGTGCATTAATGAAAAATCACCAGGTATGCGTATTCGCAGCCATAACGTTGTAAGTGCGCATACACGTTTCCTTTAGTTACAAAGCATGCAGCGCTAATGTACGCAGGACAAATGAATCCTCGTCATTTAATGAGTACGTTCTTACGTGGTACGAACAATATATAGTCGAAATTGCATGAAATTCCATGAAAATCTGCCAGATATCGGTCGTCGAGGTGCGCATTTATGAAAACACGACTTTTAGAGAGTTGCGAGTTGTGATATCTGACTATACTGAACGTCGTGTAAATGGCGAAATATATACGACGGTAATAGGGTAAAGTGAGATCTTATTGTTCGGTGAAGTGCTTTGTTGGTCCGTTAGTGCGATAAATTTTTCGTGTCGCTGACGGACCAAGCACGACGATATTGTTACGTTGTTTTTCGCAGTGGAAAACGACACGTCTTTGGAAGGATGGCGACCTGACCCCTTCCAAATAATGGAATACTGTGCACAACGGTACGTTTCTCTGTGTAAGCAGGTCGTATCTACCAAACTATACATAATTATTTTTTATACACATTGAATTTACAATGTGTACCTGCACAGCAACTGTCCCTCTAAATTCCCGGAGGATTATTTAGTGTTATTAAGACAGTGTCACGCGTACAGTCATCGTAATGACAAATTCTTTTTCACCTTTCTTTGTACTTTGACGACAAACGTTATTTTACGATATTGTATTCTTAACCACGTGTTTTTATTCATTGTATTTGTATATTTCTTAATTTTGATTCAACCCTGTAATTATACCTCATTACATTATTTATATGTGTAAGTTTTTCCAGGAGTTACGTTTTGTTGAATCTAAAGTTGTGAAAGCTGAATAACATTATCAACGAAATATCTAATATAAATAGATTACAAGAAGTTTCTATATTTATTTTTACTTTATGTTTTATATTGACTTTTCATTATCTGCTATGGATATTTTTTAATGACCTTTTGATTAGTTTCAACATAGTATTAATGTTTTGTTGATTGTAATGTTAATTTCATTATTTCTATTTCTTTTTCAGATTGTCAGTTTGAATTATATTCTATTGGTGCTATTAAACCTACAAGGTAAGCTCTATTATATAAAAATGAAGTTTAAAATGCAAATTTATATCACGTTTCTTTTTATCTGTTCATGACTATACATGTATTAAGTGTACTTTTTTATTTTATTTTACAATAATATTATGATTCATCACTTTACTTTATAATTCGTTAAGATGGCTGATGTTGATCCTGAAACTTTATTGGAGTGGCTTAATATGGGCCAAGGAGATGAAAGAGATATGCAACTAATTGCATTAGAACAATTATGTATGTTGTTGCTTATGTCTGATAATGTTGACCGATGCTTCGAATGGTAAGTTACATATTTTATAGATAGCAATTTTTTGCTGATGAAATATTTATATTTTATTACATAATCATTTGTGTTTTAGCTGTCCTCCACGCACATTTCTTCCCGCATTATGTAGAATCTTTTTGGATCAACTTGCACCAGATAGCGTTTTAGAAGTCACTGCTCGAGCCATCACATATTATTTTGACCTCTCACCAGAATGTATACGCAGAGTAATAGCTATGGAAGGTGCTGTAAGGGGTATCTGCAGTCGCTTGTCTGGAGCTGGATTTGGTTCCAGGACTAGTCGGGATTTAGCTGAACAGTGTATAAAGGTATTGTGTCATTTAGTTGTCATTAAGTAGAAGAGTACAGAATATTATTAATTTACATCGTTATTTTAGGCATTGGAGCTTGTTTGCGCAAGGGAAGCTGGCGCTGTACTCGAAGCAGGTGGTCTGCCATGTGCTTTATGTTTTATTCGAGAACATGGCGCTCTTGTTCATCGGGATACGCTTCATTCGGCAATGGCAGTTGTCACCCGTTTATGCGGGAAAGTAGAACCGCAAGATAAATCTTTACCGGATTGCATCGAAGCGCTATCAATGTTACTCAGACATGAAGATGCACATGTTGCTGATGGAGCACTTCGTTGTTTTGCATCATTGGCTGATAGATTTTCAAGGAGAAATACAGATCCTGCTCCTTTAGCCACTCATGGACTAGTTTCTGAACTTTTATATAGGTATCTGTTTACTAAAGTTCATATATCTGTTCAACTTTTAATTAAAATTATGTACAGCACAATTTACAATGTTTATTTACAGGTTATCAAATGCAGCAGGACCTGGTACATCCATAGCAGCTACTTCTGGAAATCCAAAAACGCCCCCACCATCTAGTACAACGTCAACAATACCTGCCCCAGAAGCAAACTCTTGTGCTTCTGTTTCCACTATAATTAGTCTTTTATCAACACTTTGTAGAGGATCACCTTCTATAACTCATGATCTCTTACGTTCTGAGCTACCAGATGCAATCGAAAAAGCTTTAAAAGGAGATGAGCGATGTGCTCTTGATTCTATGCGATTAGTTGATTTGTTATTGGTACTGTTGTTCGAAGGCAGATCAGCATTAGGACGTAACACCAGCGGCGGTTCATCGGGTCCTTTATTACCGCGATTCAGACGCCCAGAAAGTGCTGGAGAAAAATCACACAGGCAATTAATTGATTGTATTCGATCAAAAGACACAGATGCATTGATAGAAGCTATTGATTCTGGGGGAATTGGAGTCAATTTTATGGACGACGTTGGACAAACATTGCTTAATTGGGCGTCTGCCTTTGGAACGCAAGAAATGGTTGAATTTTTATGTGATAGAGGAGCCGATGTTAATAAGGGTCAAAGATCGTCTAGTCTGCATTATGCTGCTTGTTTCGGAAGACCAGCTATCGCTAAAGTATTACTTAGACACGGAGCAAATCCTGATTTACGAGATGAAGATGGCAAAACGCCGTTAGACAAAGCCAGAGAACGCGTAGATGAAGGACACCGAGAAGTTGCAGCTATATTACAATCTCCTGGAGAATGGATGTTACCGAATCAAGAGCATAGAAAACCAGAGACAGAAACCGAATTCACAGAACCAAAAGGTGATCCTGAAATGGCTCCAGTTTATTTGAAAAGGCTTTTACCGGTATTCTGTGCGACATTTCAATCGTCTATGTTGCCCAGCGTTAGAAAAGCCAGTTTAAGTTTAATTAGGAAAATGGTGCACTACATTCAACCCGAGTTACTCGTTGAAACGTGCGGTTCCGATAGAACAGGAAGTTGCGGTGCTATGCTGGTGGAAGTAATTGCCAGTGTTTTGGATAACGAGGTAAGGTGAAAATATTTGACCGCAATTTAGATTTTGTTATTTTACATCGATTTCTTTAGGTCCTATGAGATACATAGGATTAATTAATACATTATAAATATTTAGTACTCATGCAGGCAGGCAGGCAGCCAAACAGACAATACTAGCGATTTAGTTAAGATTGTTCACAGGAGCTTGAGATAATAGCACCATCACCACCACCTCCGCCTCTCAAGCCGATAATTGGCCCAAAATTGCGTTGTCTCTCATCGCGCAAGTCTTCCAGTTCCCTCAACTACATTGTTGATAAGACGGTAACGTCTGTTCTATATTTGCCAGTCATTAGTTGAAAAATCCTTTGTGTCCCCTATATGCTACTCGTCAACTCCACGTTTTTTTTTTCTTTTTTTACTAGTTTATTAATAATTATGCAAAGATTTCGTTTACCATTAACATAATGTATTTATGACACACTTTATATAAAGGGTGAGATCTAACAAATGTACGCATGTTTAATTCCTTTGCTGATCAAATGTTTTTTTCATAATACTATCAAATACAAGTACGATTGATACATAAAGTCTATGTGCAATTTACTATTTAGCACAGAACTTGACATAAGAGGACAGATAGGGTAACAAATTGTTTTAAAAGTAACAGCAAAGGACACTTAAAAAATTGTCAGTGAATGGCCAATTGCTATAAACAGGTATTAATCATGATAGATTAGACATGAAGCTGGTTGTCCACTTCTGTCGACTGTCTGCCTGCTGCTGATGGAATTAACGGGCATTTGCTTGTGATTTCATTCGGTCGCGTAATCGTAATCGTTTTGCTCATAAATAAATTTGTGCTGTTCTATTCGTGTACCATAGAATACGGGTCAATACAAGTACCATAAACATTATATCACACATAAATTTGTATTGTTTTAAACTAAGACCGAAGGACCAGAATAATTTGTTTTATTTTAACTGGATTTTGAACATGTTATGAAAGAATTGTATTTAAAATATTTTCTTTATTTTAATCTTAATAGGAGGATGAAGATGGACACTTAGTGGTTTTACAAATGATACAAGATTTGATGATAAAAGGCAAAGATGAGTTTCTAGAACATTTTGCTCGTTTGGGAGTATTTTCAAAAGTTGCTGCACTAGTCGGACCACAAGAAACTACCCCAGAGCCAGAAGCAGAATCAAATCAATCTGAAGAGCAAAGGATGGAAGATGCTATAGAACTTTTAATTGGAAGAGCTTATCACTGGGGAGATTGGTGTATTTGTAGAGGACGTGACTGCCTATATGTTTGGTCATACGCAGCTGCTCTAGAATTGTCAAATGGAAGCAATGGATGGTTTAGGTTTATACTCGATGGGAAATTAGCAACAATGTATTCCAGTGGAAGTCCAGAGGGAGGAACAGATACTTCAGGTGAGTTCTTCTTCCTGTTACGATGTCATCACCTATGTCTCGTCCATCTTGCCACTGTCTTTCTTGTTAAAATGTTCCTTTCACCTCCACACACTTCCATTGCGCCAGATAAATTGGCTCTATTCAGATCACATTTTATGTTATATCTTTTCATTTGTGATTAACTTCTGCGAGGGGAATAGTTTAGTAAATAACTGGTTTTACTAACTGCCTACAGGAAAAGGGCGGAACACAGAGTCGCTTACTACTGAAGGTAGGTACATATACATTCAAACTTTCCTAGTTGTGCACGCTATCCTACCCTTCAGTGTACGTCATCAGTTGCATGAAAATTCCTTTATTTCTGCATTATTTAAACATTTTCTTCCACGACATTATTCGGTTCATTGAAAATTTTCACACCGCCTGTAGCAGTTTTATCGTATGAATGATTACCGTGCATATTTTACAGAGAACCGTGGCGAATTTTTGGAGAAATTACAAAGAGTACGTAGCCAAGTGAAACCAAATTCTGTGAGTCAGCCTGTATTGTCACGGCCTGGTACAGCTCGGTTAGTTGTAGGAAACTGGGCATTATCCAGTACGAAAGAAAGCGAATTATGTATACATAATTGTGACGGTCAGCAGCAAGCAACTATTTTAAGAGAAGATTTGCCAGGATTTATTTTTGAATCAAATCGAGGTACAAAGCATTCCTTTACAGCAGAAACAAGTTTGGGTAAGTATACATAATTTTCATCTCTAATGATATCGAACAATCTACAACTCATGATTTGTCTTTAGGTCCAGAATTTGTATCAGGTTGGGCCGGCAAAAGAGGGAAACGATTAAGATCAAAAATTGAAGCTATCAAACAGAAAGTTAAAGTACAAGCTCAAGATATTTATGAATGTTATTTTAAAGCCGCTCAGGCTCAGCCACGTGGGGTAGTTGCTAAACTGGGCGCTATTGTTAATCAAATAGAAAAAGCTTGCCAAAAGCAACAATCAGGTAATCGTGAGTGGCGCAACATATTACAAAGTGCATTAGACGAACTTAAAGCTTTATTAAATGAAGAAGGAAGGGTTTCCGCCTACGAGCTGCACTCCAGCGGTCTCGTGCAAACTCTGCTCGCATTATTGGCGGCCCCTCCAGGTCCTCAACCACCAACATTACGAGCAACGAAGCTTAGAATGCAAAGAATAGCAGTATTCAAAAATTGCTTTCATTCGAAAGACGCCAATAAAGAACATAATTCCGCTAAAATTCTAGTCCACAAGTTGGTTTCAGTATTGGAATCTATCGAAAAATTACCTGTTTACTTATACGATACACCGGGCTCAGGCTACGGTTTACAAATTTTAACTAGGCGGTTACGTTTTCGATTAGAGAAAGCAACCGGTGAAAGTTCTTTGATAGATAGATCTGGCCGGAGTTTGAAAATGGAACCTTTGAGCACCATACAACAATTAGAGAGTCATTTATTAAAAATGGTAGCGAAACAATGGCACGATCATGATAGATCAACGTTCACGTTTGTTAAAAAACTGAAGGAGGGCAATAGAATAACTTTCAAATACCAGTCTGATTTCGATGAAAATGGTCTACTATATTGGATCGGTACAAATGCGAAAACTTGCTCCGAATGGGTGAATCCTGGTCAATATGGTTTGGTCGTGGTTACATCGAGTAATGGAAAAAATTTACCTTACGGTCATCTAGAAGATATTTTAAGTCGCGACCCGTCCGCCTTGAATTGTCATACAAACGACGACAGACGTGCCTGGTTCTCAATCGATTTAGGAGTCTGGATTATTCCAAGTGCTTATACGTTAAGACACGCGCGAGGCTACGGCAGAAGTGCCTTGCGAAATTGGATGTTCCAGGCATCGAAAGATGGTGTAACTTGGACCACGTTGTACGCGCATGTAGACGATCCATCATTGAACGAACCTGGTAGCACAGCTACTTGGACATTAGAACCACCAGCCGATGAAACGCAAGGATGGCGGCATTTGCGATTGCAGCAAATCGGGAAAAACGCATCTGGACAAACACATTACTTATCCGTATCTGGATTTGAGGTTTACGGCGAAGTTACCGGAGTTTGTGAAGATTTAGGACGCGCTGCTAGAGAGGCTGAAGCTGGTGTTCGAAAACAGCGAAGACTGATTAAGTCTCAAGTTCTTCGTCATTTAGTTGCCGGTGCTAGGGTAGCCAGAGGTTTGGATTGGAAATGGAGGGATCAGGATGGTGTTCCACCAGGTAAGTTTTGCAATATTTAGGCGACTGAGCGTTATTTTTATATAACTGATAGATGGACAAGTTTATTCAATGATTCTAGGTGAAGGTACCGTGACAGGAGAATTGCATAACGGTTGGATAGATGTAACGTGGGATCATGGCGGTTCCAATTCTTATAGAATGGGCGCAGAGGGAAAATATGATCTGAGATTGGTTGGAAGTGGCCTTGATACAGATAGCGGTTCCAAAAATAAAAGTGGTGGTGGAGTTCTACCTGGACGAAAATCGAGTAGCACCCCTAGTTTACCAGATTGTACTGACACTGCGATGCGTGGATCGGTAGCTTCAACGGATCAAGCAGCAAGTGCTGATAACCTGGCAGCTAAGGTACAATTGAATGCATGCATCATATTTAACCGTATAAGTGTGATTCTAATTAGAGATGTGCGGGGTAATCGAATGAGGACCGGAAACTAACTATTTGGACATCGAGCTATCGTCAGTTAATCCGACTTCATCTGATTCAGGTCTAAAATATCGAGTACCCGCACATCATTATCGTGTACTCAAATCATTGGAACGTGTTGCAATTACAGTAGTAAAATCACTTGTTCGATGTAGTTTTAATCTGGTGTTTGTAATAAACAGCAAGCCGCTGAATCGATAGCAGAAAGTGTGCTATCGGTTGCTCGTGCCGAGGCGGTTGTCGCTGTAACCGGCGAGGGCGGAGCAAATTCAACAGGCGAATTGTCCGTCGTATTACATCCCAGGCCTGACACTACCGTGACAAGTGATCTGGCAACCATTGTTGAAACTATTGCTCTTAACACTGATTGTCCTGCCAACAGTAACAGCAATCGTGCATCTAGTAGTTCAAAGCCATTTTTTCCTACTGTGCGAGGAAATAAGGTGTGATACTCGCACGTTCATTAAGATAACTGTAACATGTATCTGTTCATGTATATGTACAATGGTTTTACATTGAAATATTTTTACAGCCAGCGGCCGGTCTATTGAGTCTCGAAGCTGCTGAAGTGTTAGACCGCGTCAGGGAAGGAGCTGACAGATTACGTAACAACACTAATAGCTTCCTGAGCGGAGAATTACTTAGTTTAGTGCCTGTTAGAATCAGCGTGGCGGGCGAATTAGAAGAGAATTCATTGAGAATAAAGTCTGTTCAAAGGCATCATTCAGGAATTACAGATGGTATGATAAAAGTTCATCTTCCTTTCATTATTGCGTTCTATAATCCTCCTTTTCCTGTTGTTTTAATAATTATAAAAACTAAAAATTATTGCGATCATTTTGAAATTAAAATTAGCGTTGTTACTAAAGATTTGTGTTCGTTTGTCATTTATATGAGGTTTTTGTAATTAACCATAAAGCTAAGTGTGTTTTCCTTGAACTAGCTACCAAAGAATGTAGTCGGGACAAAGAAGCTAGCTCATCTACGCAAAATACTGCAGGAGGATGTCCTGTTGTTGTTACCAATCCCATGTCTGTGTCTGTCCCCAATCTTGCTTGTTCTGACGCTAACAATACGTTGGAACCAACAGCTGCAACTGGTTTATTGGAAACGTTTGCTGCAATGGCTCGAAGGCGAACTTTGGGTTAGTGCCTATGGGTATTGCTTAATATATTTTAATTAGAGATGTGCGAGTATCCATTTCGCGATTGAATCGAACCCGATGATTCATCTACCCATTTAATTACTCGTACATCCCTAGTTTCAACAGATCAACCACTTATATTATTCTTTTTAATTCGTGTTGTCGTTTTTCAACGAATTAGTTTAATAGTTACACGGTTCTTTAACGAATGAAAATTCTTTTAGGACCTACAGGTGGACAACATATTGCTTCTAATTCTAATACTGGTTCAAATTCCCGTGGACCTAATTCCGTATCGAGTTTAGTTCGACTTGCCCTAAGTCCCAATTTTCCTGGCGGTTTACTTAGCACAGCCCAAAGTTATCCAAGTTTAACCAGTAGTGGTCAAGTAGCTGGTAGTGGTGTCACGACGACTACTGGGCCCGGCTTAGGACAAGCACTTACAATGTCGTTGACTAGTACAAGTAGTGATAGTGAACAGGTAAAAATGAGTGTACAATAGGAAGTACTTTCCCTTTAAACTTATACCAAATATTTCCCATTGTACACTATGAACATAGCATTTAACGTGAATTATATGATTTTATATAATGTAATAAGCAGTTGTGGCTACAGGTCAGTCTTGAAGACTTTTTGGAATCTTGTGGAGGTGTTGCAAGTTCTAGCGTTGGTGGAGGTAGAACAACAGGTGGACCAACTCTTTTGACCGAATTAGAAGATGACGAAGATGGTGTACTTGAAGAAGAAGAGGATAACGATGAGAATGATCAAGAGGTAAGTTGAAAAAACAAACAACTTTTCAGGGATACATTAGTAAAAGAGTATTTTTAGTTACGAGTTATTTATTTTTTTCCACAGGAAGATGACGAAGAAAATGAGGAAGAAGGAGATGGTTGTGATGCTGATTATGAAGAAGTAATGGTGAGCCGTAACCTCCTAGCAGCTTTCATGGAAGAAGAAAGCAGCAAGAGACGTGCTTGGGATGACGAGTTTGTTCTTAAACGTCAATTCTCCGCATTGATACCAGCCTTTGATCCTCGACCTGGGCGAACAAACATTAATCAGGTATGTTCAACAGAAATATTAAAGACTATACTTCAAAATTTATGTTACCATGAAATCTTATTTGCAGACAACAGATTTGGAAATTCCACCGCCTGGTAGCGAGACTCAATCGAGTACGCGTTCAGGATCATTGTCAATGCCAAGGCTTTCCTTGACATTAAAAGGACCAGGACTCCCAGGAGTGCCAGATGTTGAATTGCCGCTTACGGAACCGCATGCTAGTATTTTCAAAACAGTACAAGAATTAATGCAACTAACTGAATTAGGCAGCCGACAGGATAAATTAAGGAGAATATGGGAACCAACTTACACGTAATACATCTTTCTTTATAACGCAAAATCAAAAAGCTAATTATTTTTACTTGTGTACTTAACCAATAATTTTTACAGTATAATATATAAAGAAGCTAAAGACGAAGAATCATCCGGAAGAGCTACGCCAATTGTAACGTTATATTCCCGAAATACCACTCAAAACTCTTCAGTGTGTACCGTAGAAGATGTTCTACAGCTTTTGAGGCACGTTTATGTGTTAAGCACTACCCGCGAAGATGGTAAACAAATTGATTACGAACAGGAGGAATCTCTGTGCTGGGTACAGCCAGAAGACTTCACATCGAAGAAGATCACAAATAAGATAGTACAACAAATTCAAGATCCCTTAGCACTAGCTGCTGGAGCTTTGCCAAATTGGTGCGAAGAATTGGCAAGGAGTTGTCCATTTTTGTTACCATTTGAAACCAGACGACTATACTTCAGTTGTACCGCCTTTGGGGCATCCCGATCTATCGTATGGCTTCAAACGCAGAGAGACGCTGTTCTTGAAAGACAAAGAACACCTGGTTTAAGTCCACGTCGTGACGACATTCACGAATTCCGCGTGGGTAGGCTTAAACATGAACGAGTCAGTGTACCTAGGGGAGAGAAATTATTAGACTGGGCAGAGCAAGTGATGAAAGTATGTTGAACTTATAAAATTTGTTTAAAAAATAATGAATTATTTGTTTTATGTGATATGTATATTCCAGGTACATGCAAGTCGAAAGAGTATATTAGAAGTTGAATTCATTGGCGAAGAAGGAACAGGTCTTGGACCAACATTAGAGTTTTTCGCGTTGGTTGCTGCCGAATTACAGCGTAAGGACCTGGGTTTATGGCTGTGCGACGACGAAGAAACACCCGAGACAGAACAATCACATGTTTCCGGAGAACAAATTCGACCCGCAGGATATTACGTAACCCGACCAAGCGGATTATTCCCGGCTCCTTTGCCACAAGATTCCACAGTTTGTGATCGTGCTGTCAGATACTTCTGGTTCTTAGGTGTATTCCTAGCAAAAGTTTTGCAAGATAATAGATTAGTAGATTTACCGTTGTCTCGACCTTTCCTAAAATTAATGTGCCACGGGGACACTACAAACAACGTGAACGAAAAAATTGGTCTCAGCGGTATTACTCAAGAAAGTATGTCATCAAGTATGTCAAGTAGCTTTATATCAGAAGAAGGTGAAGCAGATGTAACGTATTCTTCGTTAGAACCTCCTCCATGGTATTCCGGATTGTTAGATATTGAAGACCTTGTACTAGTTGACCCGGTACGAGGAGAATTTTTAAGGGAAATTCAAAATTCGATTACTAAGCGTGATAGAACGCTTTCAGATAGTCATAATACCACCGACGAAGAAACGTCGTTAAATATTACCCATCCATCTGGAATGTCAGTGCCTATTGAAGATTTGGCATTAACGATGACGTATTCTCCGAGTTCAAAAGTATTTGGATACGATCACGTTGAACTAATGGAAGGATCTGCAGAAACTCTAGTTACTATGCAAAACGCAAAAGAGTACGCGGAGATGACAATTAATTATTGTCTCGATCGAGGAATCTCTAGACAACTGGAATCGTTTAAATCAGGTTTTTCAAAAGTCTTCCCAATGGAAAAACTTCATGCTTTCAGCCCAGAAGAAGTGAGAGCTATGCTTTGTGGAGAACAAAACCCACAGTGGACCAGAGAAGACTTGCTCAATTATACTGAGCCAAAACTTGGGTACACGAGAGAAAGGTAAGAATATTTTTGCTTATTAGCAAATTCTGACATTCTAAAATTTCAAGATCTCAAAAAATAAATTGTTTATTATTACAGTCCTGGTTTCCAAAGATTTGTCAATGTTTTGCTGTCATTGACTGGTCCGGAAAGAAAAGCTTTCTTGCAATTTGCTACTGGATGTTCAGCTTTACCTCCTGGAGGGTTATGTAATTTACACCCTAGATTGACCGTCGTGCGGAAAGTAGATGCTGGATCAGGTGGTTATCCCTCTGTTAACACCTGTGTTCATTATTTAAAATTGCCAGAGTATCCTACCGAAGAAATACTTAAAGAAAGACTTTTAGCCGCGACTAGAGAGAGAGGATTTCACTTAAATTAAGCTCGGGCGAAGAACTGTTACGATAATATTGTCAGAAATACTTGCGCTTAAAACGTGTGACTTGAACTTTGCTTGATCGAATCGTACAACTTAATGTATAAAAGCAAAGTTTGGCCTTGATGTCACTTGAATAACCTAAAAATGTAGTCTAATAGGAAATCAGTACAGGTTTAAACGAACGATTTAATTACATGACCTGGAACGGAATCGTGTATGATATTTAAATAAATCAGTAAGAATTTTCATTGTATTACGAATATTTAAGTATAAAATAATATCACGTCAAAGCTATTGTCAAAGTTGCCCATTTCAATGGAAATCTGTAATGTAACAAGTACCATCAAATTATGTTGCTTTACAACCTGTGTATTTAAAATTTTTTTGTAGTGAATTTTTTAAAATCACAAAAATTTACTACAAAACTGTAATATATATACATATATATTTAATAACAAACTAATAAAAGAGTTATGCTGTTACGTATTCTCGTGGGCTATCCGTTCCAGGTATTAATCATAAATATAATTACGAATTTGTCCAATACAATAGAAATTGTATTTTCTCAAGAACTGTAATTTATGCGAGTGTTTTCAAGTATATTTACTGTCCTCGTGGAACAAAAACTTTACAGTTCCTCATTTTAGAACGAATGTTCGTACTGTCTCCTTTGTGAAATATTGTTGTGCTTGAAAGTGATCCATATGAAGAAAAAAAATGGCATCTTTGATGAAAATTTCTATTTTCTTTATCAAAATGCTTTTGTGGTACATCATTTGTACTGCATAAGCGTATTATATAATACATTACAACGCGCGACAAGATGTGAATCAAAATTGACTCGTGCAAAGTGCTAAGTTTTTATTAATCACAATGATGTTTCTTAGCATCTAGACCAATTTTCACTGCTTCAAACGTTTGTCCTTTTAATTCACTATTAATACGCATTATCATGTTTCTAAAGGCATGTGAGTGTCCAAAATATAAAAAGAAGTAATAAAAAAGACGTGATGAAACATTTTGTTGATGAATACATTATGAAGACTTGGCAAGCTGAGCACTCTGCATCTTTGTACAATATGCTACTTAATGCTCACTCAATAATTATAATTATAGGCGGAAATCAGTATACTTGTAATAATAGTGTCTAGAAGAAGATATGAAGATAATATAAATGTGAAAACAGATTGATTAATGATATCGATATGAGAAATAGTTACTATTACTGTAATATAAATTATTATTGATTCTTGGGGAAAAGAATAAAAGAAAAAAAAAACGTTATAAAGTATAACATGCTTTTCAATATAATTTGTTACACGTTTTATACAGTCTAAGAATATAAACTTATATATACATTCAACAATTCATGTGCCATTTAGAAAAGATACGCATATTATTAGATCCCATATAATATATATGTACCATTAATATATATTAGGCTCATGTATGCCAACTTAAAAATTCCGTAAAATAATCATGGCCTATGTATTATATATCACAATGTATATATTATGCAAAATTTAAACATTAATTCTTTACAATTTTGCTGGAACAGGTAAGGGGTTCTCAGAACGATCATTTGTCAACTCTAGTCACTTGCTATGCAGTACTTTATTTGCTTCTTCACGTTCCTCTTCCAACTCTTTAGATGTAATATTCAACATTTTTCTAGCAAAATCGCTGATCGGAAGTCCCTGAAACAATAATGTATATTATTTTGTTCCTAAAATATATTTGAATGAGAGAAATTACAAAGGAATATTTACCTGAACAATTTTGAACTCTCCATTTTCAATAGTAACTGGAAATGAGAACACCAAATCCTTTGGGATTCCATAACTACCATCAGATAGTACACCCATGCTAACCCATTGAGCTGGCTTTGTACCAAAGAACCAATCTCTCATGTGATCCCCAGCTGCTTTAGCAGCTGACATAGCAGATGACATGCCTCTAGCAGCAATCACAGTTGCACCGCGTTTCTGAATTTTTTCAATAAAGGTAGTATTCAACCAGTTATCATCCTTTACAGCTTCAGGTACTGGTACAGGGTTGCATTGAAAGGTTACAGTAGCATGAGAGGCATCAGGATATTGAGTTGAACTGTGGTTACCCCAAATAATTGTATTTTTTACTTTATCAGCCTGTTTGAAAATGAAATTTTCTTAAATTTTGAACCATTTAATATAATAAATAACACTGATATTAAAATTACCGGAACATTCAATCGAATAGCTAAAGTTGATTGAGCACGATTCTGATCTAATCTTGTCATTGCTGTAAAATTTTTTTTAGGAATACTTGGTGCATAGTGAGAGCAAATCAAAGCATTTGTATTAGCAGGATTGCCCACAACCAAAACTTTAACATCTTTTCGTGCATGCTTATCCAATGCTTCTCCTTGTACTTTAAAAATTTGTACATTAGCTGCTAAAAGATCTTTTCGTTCCATTCCCTGTTTTCGAGGCATTGCCCCAAGGAGAAAAGCTGCAGCTATATCTTTGAAAGCTACAGCTGGATCAGCTGTTGGAGTAACTTCTAGAAGTGGAATATGTACATGTTACGTCAGCATTACATAACAGCTATACTAGTTAAATAAACTTAGCAATATCAACAAGTTTATCTAACATACTATCATGTCTTTACAATAATTACTTGTGTAATATTCTTGTAATTTAGATATGTTTTAACATAGTTTTACCCCTTAAAAGTGGAAGAGCTAAATCTTCTAGTTCCATAACTACTCCCTCTAATACTTTCATCTGAACTGGAATATCTAATAAACGAAGATTAATTGGTTGGTCTGGTCCAAAAACTGTACCAGCAGCAAGCTGGTACAACAAAGAATAGGCAATTTGCCCTGCAGCTCCCGTAACTGCCACATTTATTGGTTCACTCTAAAAGAAAAGAAAGGAAATAATTTAACTACACATGCACAAATCAGTCAATATTCAATTAATCTTTTTCTACTATAAATTAACGATTTTATTTACAAAATCAATGAAAAAAATTTATGAATATTAAATTAGTAATAGTTTGTATTTAAACAAATTATTGAAGGTCACATGTAGGTTATGCAAATATTATATAAAATATTACTTTTTTTTCATTATAACATTTTTCAATATAACATTTTTCATTATTAAATAGTAGAAAATGATTATAATACATTATTTAAAACTTACCATGTTTCGGTACTATGATTTTAAAGCAACTCAAAAACTGTTATCCGACTCTCCAGGACTCTTAAGGTCAATTAGTTATCGCAATGATTGAAGCAATGACATCGACAGTGACTTGTCTGGAAGATAGATTCGAATTCGAACGAGTTCGCTGGAGGCCAAATATTTCAATTAATTTACTTCGTATTTTAATCACTATACCTGCTATGCTATTTAATTTATACATTGTTAAATACATATAATAAACACGGAATATTTACATTACTTGATCAAGGTAAAATTATAGAATAAAATCAATATTTGGTATAAAACATTGGTAAACTAAGTTTCTTCCTTTTCGCTTTCGGTAAACGTCGAACAACTTATGTAATTAATTTATTTTAAGCAAAACGTGTAAGATATGTTTCAGTGTTTATTTTCCACTTATTGCAGTGTTAGCTATATATTTTATAAGTCAAATTTTATTGCATAATATTTACAAATCTCGTACAGAAGTTCAAAAATTTCTTTAAGTACAGCATCCAATCAAGACAGTGTCTACTTTGCTGCCACCTATTCAACAATGTTAGGAAGTTCATAATCCGTAATATAGTAAATATGAAATGAATCAGTAATCTAAAAATTGATGATACTATGGCATAAGTTTAAATAATTCTTAAATTATGGATTTATAAAGAATGGAATTTGGAATTTAGGTATTTGATGATAATCGAATGTGGTCCGCAAACATCATTTGATTACGTTTGTCCTACATCACATATTTTTATCCATGTGATATATATACGATGGAAATAACGCATAATAATTGAACACAGCTACTGGTGCAGAGCACACTGAAGTTTGCCACCTTGTAAGAATCGAGTATGATCTTCCATTAAACGAATAATAATTCCGAAGTGCGGGAAAACTGACAGTTTTTCCCGCGTATAATCTTGCACGTATGAATACTTTCTGCTGCTGTGTAGCAAACAGTGATTTCATGTAGTTTCATAATGAATTTGGTGCATTCTATTGTAGAACGTGAAAAAGGATGCGGTAATTTATTATTACATGCTTTTGACAATTCTTAACTGTCACAAAATTGAACTACATTATAAATTTGAAAGAATAGGTTATATGCGATTCAAAGTATCTTAATTATTAACGTCATATCCAATATTTACTTATATTACACATCTGTTATTTTAATAAAAGTAAAATGTAAGTTTTACAATAAAATGTTTATTTTTTAGCATCAATACGTGATTATGATATCGCTCTACACCGTTTAAAATGTTATCAAGATGACGTCTACCGTGGTATATCGCCAAACACAAATGCTCTGGATTTTAATCCAGAACCGCCGGTTTTTGCTTGTCGATTTTGTACTACAGAAGGTTATGAACAAATAATTGCTTTAGCAAACGAGGATGGGAAGATTGCTTTGCAAGATATAAGTGTCAAAAAAGAGTCAAATCAACCATTAGAAGGAACACAGGTATTATTACAAAGTGTTGAAGTCTCAATGATTAATGAGACCCAATGGGTAATATCTTACAAAAAGAAACATTTAAATTTCTTTTCAGGCACATTGTAATGCAATATTTGATGTTGCTTGGATGCCAGGAGAATTAAAACTGGTCACAGCCTCTGGAGATCATACTGCTAGACTATGGGATGTATCTGGATCTGAAATAAAACAAATTGATTATTTTCATGCTCACACAAGAAGTGTTAAGACTGCAGTATTTCGTTATCAGGACAAAGGTATAAGTCACTACTTTATATTTTATTAGTTCTTTGGTTGAATGTGAAATAATTTATCAAGAATATTTTAGCTGTGTTTGCAACGGGAGCTAGAGATGGTGCTATAATGATATGGGACATTAGAGCCAATCATTATGAGCGTCCTAAACCAGATAATTGTATATCTAATGCACATAATGCTGGCACCATAGGTAATGTAAGGCAACGTAGGATAATTAATCAAGCATCTAGAGCACAGAGTATCACTGGCTTGGCATTTCAAAATGATTTTACTTTACTTTCTTGCGCTGCTGGGGATGGGTAAGTTTATTATTCCACATACCTTTATTTAGGTAGGATAGCAAAATAACACTGATGAATACTATTGTTAAAGTTTAATAAAGGTGTGGGATCTACGTAAGAATTACACTGTCCATAAAAAGGAACCTTTAGCTAAACATACAATGAATTACACTGGACATAGTGCAAGAAATGGATTTTCATCTTTGTTAATATGTCCTGCTAGAATTACATTATATGCAAGTTGTATGGATAACATAATCTATGCATATAATATATCATCTTATAATCCTAAACCAAGTAAGCATAATTGTACAAGTTATTTCGTTTATATTAAATATAGTAGTAATTTATTATTTTTCTGTATTAGTGGCAGAATTTTATGGACATCAAAATTGTACATATTACGTTAAAACATGTCTAAGTCCCGATGGCCGTTATATTGCTAGTGGTTCTAGTGATGAACTTGCATATATTTGGCACACAAATAAACCAGGACCACCAATTGTGCAATTATCTGGACATACAGAGGAAGTTACTTGTATTGCGTGGTGTAGCGTCGGAGAAACTAAGGTAGTAATGCACATCGTGAACCATTGTTTGTCTTAACTACTTAATATATTATATTTAATGTTATTTTTTTTAATTTTATAGATAGTGACATGTTCCGATGATTCGTGTCATAGAATATGGAGAGTTGGTTATGAACATAAAATAGAAAATGAGGAGGTCGAAATATGTGGTCATGCAGAAGTGGTTCGTAATAGAAATCCTCTAGAAAATCTGAAATTAGAAACTACACCAACTATTACTCGACGATGGGTTGCATCTCAAGAATGTACTCCCGGATCTGATACTACTCCTAGTACGTAATTATACGTTTTTACAAATGTTATTTTAAACTGATTTCCGTAAAGATTATTGTTCTTTATTAGATGCTACTCCCGGACCTAGTTCATCAGATATTCAAAGTGGTGATTATCAAAATTTATGCAATGCTAGTAATTCGGTGAAAAGAAGTTACTCGCAATTAATGACTGGTGGGTCATGGTCAGAGGGGAAATTTAAATCCGTTTTGTCACCTATAAAAGAGAATTATGAGTTCATCGCAAAACGAGCCCATCTAGAAAATCGAGGTGCACGAAGATTATTTAGTCCTGGTAATGATAGTAATCCATTATTGGGCAAAGTTCATAAATACGACGAACCAAGCACAAGTTCATCTAGTATAGAAATTAAAAATAACGAAATTTACTTTTCTCCTACATCAAATCTCCCAAATTTTGTAATTGACGGTACAGCGCCACATTTGCTTCAACTTTCTCCAGAAAAGTATAAAGAAAATATTGACTGGTTAACGAGAATACGGAAAGAAAAGTATGAACAGAAAACGAGAAAAACGTTGTCAGATAAATTAGCTAGTCCTAGTTCTCACCCTACACCAAGCAGAAGAACTTCCAGATCACGATCAACAGAACCTCAAAAAGTATCTAAAATGTCTAAAAGTCCGGTTCCTTCATTGCTAAACTTTTTTAAAATTGCTGGAAAGGACTGTGAATCAAGTGTATGTTGCGAGGGTAGTAAAGTAATATCTTCTACAAAATCCTGAAAGTAATTTCAGGTTTTGCTGTTTATTAGACTGTATTTTATTTATCTCAAATTTTATACACATTTATTAGGTATGGAATCTATAAATTGCATTCGAAGTGTTAACTAATGATTGCGATTAAAAATTCAGCGCGCTTTCTGTTGTTATAATATGGTACCTTATAAAACAGTGAAATTTGTAAGATTTAAAATATAAGGTATGACATTTGACATAGTATAAAAGTATTACAAAATATGTAAAAATGAATTATATACTCAAATGTGTCATATTCTTAGTAATAGCATAGGATAACTTTTATACAGAATAAATTATTTTTATAATATATATTAAAAAAAAGTTCGTTATTTTTTTCATGAATATTTAATTTCTAATTTAACATCATACGGGATAATGAATTAAGGTATGTGAATTACAAAATATACAGTAAATGATTTTTTAATTTTATTTATATTTTATTTATATATAAATATATACTATTAACTAATTAATTCAGATTGAAATACTTTCACGGCTCGTGGAAGTAAATTAATTTTAACTGACTTGAGTTCATATTCTTCATTATCAATATGTAATGTACATTCTTTGTTCTCCTATAAATAAATTCATATATATATATAGATTTAATATTACAATTAAAATTTTAAGATTATTAGAAATTTACCTTTTGCGGAGTTAGTTCAATATTCTTTGCTTCTATAACTTCCTCACACAATAATTTATTACAGTTTTGTTGTCTCCATCCTGCAGTTACAAAACTGAAGTAATTAATATTCTTTGGACCTGTAACAGTAAAAATATTTTGTAATAATTGTTACTCACAAATGTAACAATTTAAAAAAATTACCTATTTCTATTTTTAAAGATGATGGTGATTTCACTTGTTCCTTGTCTATATCTGATGCTTCTATATGTAGTTCACTTGTTTTCACAGGTAACTCATGGAAAATGCCACAGTTTTCATTTGTTATTTTACTGTAATCAACACTACCTAAAAAAAAATATAGAATGATATAAAGTAATGTACTGATTTCAATGCTTATACTAAATTTTCAAATTTTTCAAACCTTCTGTCATAGTAGTTCTTGGAGCAAATATATGCCACCATCTCCTATTCATATTACTAGATCCACTTAAAAAATTTGTTTGACTACAGTGACTGCAACCATCACAAGGTGGTGTATATTTTATTATTGCATCACAATACTGGTTTAGATCATGTTTGTAACCATTAAATATATAAGTTACATATCTGTAAGATGTAATGAATGTATGCAATACAATTAAAGTTCCATAGAAGTTATAGAGTGCATTAGAAAATTCATAAAAGATATGCATACTTTTTTAAGAATCCCCAATACCAATACTTCTTACTTAAAGCTTGTGCATCTTTCCAAGCACCCCATTCAATTATTCCCATAGCATAGATTGGTTTTACTGGTTCTTCAGAATCATGCTTCAATTATGAAACAATGGATATAAAATTTAAAATTCATTAAAATAATAGAAATTTGTTATATGCACTTAAAACATACTTCAGTAGGTTCAATTTCAATTAAATCCATCATTTTATACTTTTCATTTATAATAGCTATTGTTGCTTCTAACATTTGTTTTACATCGGACAATTTATCATATTCATGATATAAGGATTTTGCAACTTTGCTTGTTTGTCCTAATGGTAAAATACCAATAGGACACTGTTTAACTGAATTAAGATTAGCATCATATTTCCTGACTAATCCTGTTAGAACATCAGATAAAGTACCATCCCCTCCTGCCACAATAATGGCATCAGTAGGTGTATCTAAATCCATAATAAGTTTTCGTGCTGCATTTTCTGATTCAGTTTGTACTATGGTCACAGCTATTCCAGCCAAGTGTAAAAGAGGCTCGCAATAATTCTTAAATAATTTTTTAGCTTTCCTATGGATAATAATGATTATTGTTAATATGTGAGCAGTTATGCAAATTAATATTTATGAGTCAAATGTAATCACACCCTTTCTTGGCAACTGGATTTAAAATAACAGTCACATGACGAGGCTTTGTATTTGTTGGAAGTGAGGTATCACCATACTGTGACACATTCTTACAATATTCTCTCATTAATTGATTTGTGCTACAAATGATATTTCAGTTAAAAAAATTGTATTAGATATAATAAAACTCTAATGTGTTTTAATTTATATTTATTTGTATCTAAAGTATAATACAAATATTTAAGTATAAAATAATATCTTACTCATATACATCTTTACTATATGAAACTCCATATGATAAGGCAGCTGTTAGTACAACAGATTTCTTCCAGTTATTTCTAATAGTTCGACAAAAGTTCAATACCTTGGCCATTGTTTTCACACTTTTATTATTATCAGAGTAACCTCAATAAATCTGTAGTTATCATGTTATATACATTTATTAATTACATCTACTCAAAATTTTGGAAAAATTGCATAAATATTAAAAAGATTTGTGCTAGAAAGAATAATATTTATATTCTCCTCATTACAGTACTTTTATGAATAAAATTGTTATCACTTGTAATAACTTCGACACTTATTAATCTCATAAAGCTGTAACTGCTCCTTAGCTTTCTTAATTATGCGTTATTACTATAATATAACAAATATATTGTGCTACATAAACTGTTTGGAGACATATTTCATAATCCACGTGTTTTATCTGTACATATTACGAGAGAATGATAGGTTTGCGCATCTGAATGAATTGAGAAAGTTGTCCAACAGCTTGTGCTGCCCCTCCACAGTTACTTTTTCACTCCACCGTTCATATACAAGGTGGACAAAAATTATCTGAATAGATGAAGAAGTACTGAAGGAATCAGTAGGAAGATATTCTTAATAAAAGATCACTGAATATATGTCATTACAGTCGTAATAGCACATGTGGGTAATCCTTGGACGCGTAGTGCGCTGAACTAATCACAGTCACCATGCGCAGATCAGCAAAAATTCGACTTTCAACGTTAATCTTCTCTTACGAATGTAACTATACATATTCGTACTTATAGATGATTAATAATTATTATATATACTAGTTAAATAATACTAAAAAGTTTGGTAAGTATTATGAAACGAAATTTTGAGAGGAAGAGATGAGAATGTACCTATTAAATTTTAGCTACAAAACGCGATCGGTATTATTGCATTAAATGTGCATCCGTGACAGTGTATGCGTAAGGAATATTTAGATTACAACCACAGCTTATCTACTATTTCTACCGTGAATATTAGACAGCAGTGGGGCATTATAGCTGATTGTAAAAGGATTCACCTAAACGAGCTTTGGGTCAAGTTCGAAAAAATTCTGGCGGGAGCGCGAGGATGTCTTTTAAAATACGAATGCTTGGAATTTCGTAATGTTTGGTATTCCAAAAGTCCAAAATTTTAAACAGTTTTCAAATCCACAAATTCGCAAAATTCTAAGTCCCTAAATTCCCTTCCACTATTTGTATATTTTGGTAGCCGTGTATATTCAAAAGTGCAGAACGAGCTGTGGTAGGGTAGCAGCGGCAGTGGGGATTCGTCTGCGCTCAGTCGTGTTGCGCGAAACGATCTTGTTCTTTGCTGAAATTTACTACATAGTAACTGTATTTCGTAAAACGCATTTTATCCATAAGATTATGTTTACGTTAAGATGTCGTTGATGTTACGTACTTTTTGATTATGTGGGTTAAACTTTTAATTTCATATTTTTCAATATTTTGTTTGTATTTCACGATGCATTGCATGTTAATATTATTAAAAACTAACAAAACAATTATACGAACTTGAATATGCGTTGACAACTTTCGAAAATTTCATTACACTTTAGATATCCAATTTCAGTGATATCATTATTTAATTTCCTTTAAAGCTGTTCTTGTTTATATTTCAAACTATTTTATGCAGATGAATATTTTTAAACGTAACGTTTTTATAATAATGTTTTACAGGTGAAATTGATGTAAAGTATAGGTGTCAATAGATGAAAAGTTGTGAAACACATTTATACAACAGAACATAGTGTTTTGGTGATAGTGAAAGATGGATGTTAAAGATTATCACAAGGTGTGCGAAGAAGTATATGACACTGAACCTTCTACATCTAAGGATAAGGATGCAGTCAATAATTTACGAAACATTGCATTAGAAGAAGTCTTAGATCAAACTCAGGCTGAAAATAAAACTATGCAAGAACATGATGAACCATCTTTTGATAATAAGTACAATGTAGTTAATACAAAAAGTATATTTGAACAAACAGAAGATAAAGAAACTGATAGAGAAACATCATTTTCTACTTTAAATTCAACCTTCTCATCAGAAGCAACTACCTCACAGGACAATACTCCTTCTTCATCGAATGATATTGAATCAAGTTCACTTTTTAATGATCAAAATAAAATTAAGAGAAGTATTTCCAAAGGTATGACAACTTTTGTATTATTTAACATCATTCAAATATATGTGTATTATTATTAATTTTTTTTTACAGGTCAAATAAATGGTGATAGTGGTATTTCAGTGGAAAAGTCTGGTAATAGTTCTGATGAAGATTCTAGCAAGCGACAGAAACTGAATGAGAATTCATCTAAACAATCAAAATCTGATGATGAAAGTGTAGATAATTTACCAAAGTTCCATAAGTTAAAATCTGAAGTAAAGAAACGTAATTATCGTGGTAAGAAACCATCAGTGGGAGAAAGTGCAGATAGTTGCAATGAAGGAAGTAGTGAAGATGTTGAGATGAGGCAAGGTAACTGATTAAAGAAAAATACATAACATTTAAAGATTCTAATGTATTACATTTGGACATAGAAACAGAGGAAACCACACCATCTAGGGGAACAGAAAATAGTGAACATGGATTAGAAACAAATAGTGATGGTTCAGATGTTGAGGATGCATGTATGTATTATTAAATGTACAATATTTTATTGATATAATATATAATTTGTTTTTACTGTTACTGATGCAAATGATTCAAATGAATGGATAACAGGCAGTGAAGGAGACTTAGAGGAAGCAGAAGAAGATATTCCTGCTTGTTTGAAGAAAGAAAAACCAAAACCAAATTGGTTTGTGGTACCAGAACTTATCCGACGTGAAACGGGTAACAATCCGTTGTTTCAACGTAGATATTATGGTTCCTTACATGTTGTAGAACATTTTGAACTTGCCTATAAGCTTGAAACACATCAGGTACTTACCATATTTGATATTGTACATATAAGGAATGAGAACATCAATTTTTATATTATTTTTACAGGGTTGTGTTAATGCTTTAAATTTTAATGAAAAAGGAAATTTACTAGTTAGTGGTTCAGATGATTTATCTGTAGTTATATGGGATTGGGCAAAAGGGAAAAACTGTCGCCATTTATTTTCTGGTCATGCAAGTAACTTGTTTCAAGTATGTAAAATAGTACATTAATGTAGTTTTGTTCGTTTTTGTAGTTCTAATGCAATGCTTCATATTTTTAGACCAAATGGTTACCATTTAATTCGAATTTAGTGGCAACGTGCGCTCTTGATTGCCAAGTACGTTTATTAGATATTAAAAAGGGTGAAGCACGAAGAATAGCAAAACATGAAGCACCCACTCATAAACTTGCGGTTCATCCGGATACACCTGAAGTTATAATTTCTGTTGGTGCAGATGCTAATGTGTTATCTATAGATATTAGAGATAAAACACCAACAAAGTATGTGGCTTAATTGGTACTTTTTACCGGATTAACATTTTCAGACAATATTTGAATCTTTTTGTTGTGTAGATTATTAGTAGTGAAAGATGGCTCTTCTAACGTGCCGTTATACAGTGTTCATTCAAATCCCTTTAATAGTAACGAATTTTGTGTTGGAGGTCGATCTCAAATAGTCAGAATATATGATCGACGAAAAGTATCTACATCACTATACAAGTTATGTCCTGATCATTTGGTACGTTTCTCGTGTAGGAAATGCAATATTATTTAACGTATCATCGTTCATGTTCCGTTAATTTTGTTCAAATTGTAGGCTGGGAATAAAAATGCACATGTAACTTCTGCTTTATATAATCATAATGGAAGTGAAGTTCTTGCCTCTTATAATGACGAAGACATATATTTATTTGATGCCGTGATGCCACAAACTGGAGATTTTGCTCATCGATACCAAGGCCATAGAAACAATGCTACTGGTATGTACTTCACTTGTTAAATGTATTCGTGGTTAATGGTTTTTATTATACGAGTTTATATACAGTCAAAGGTGTCAACTTTTTTGGACCAAAGAGTGAGTTTGTTATATCTGGATCGGATTGCGGATGTATATTTATTTGGGATAAGAATACCGAAGCAATCGTGAACTGGATGCCCGGCGATGAACAAGGAGTGGTACGCTATTAAATTAATAAAAAATGTACGCACTTTAAATGTGATACAAATTCTAATAGTATTCTGTTATGCAGGTAAATTGTTTGGAACCTCACCCATTTATACCCGTTCTTGCAACGAGTGGACTGGATTTTGACGCAAAGATATGGATACCTTCTTGCGAACATCCTCCAAACTTAACAAAGCTAGCAAGTGTACGTGTATCTAAAATATCAAGATTTCGTTTAAAAATATATAATATCTTTTTATATATTTTTCTTTCTTTTCAGTGTGTCAAATCTAATGCGATTAATAGGGCAGAAGATACTACCAATGAATCTGATGCAATTGATGGTCAGATGTTTTGGATATTATTAAGTACTGTTCATCGTACACAGTTTTTAACAGTAGGTATTAGTTGCAAAGTATACATTAATGAATAAATGTATAACATTTTGTGTAGCATTTTATTTAATTTGTTGATACCACGCTGTAGGATTTCAGAGAACGTCATCATCTATCGGACGATGACAATAGTGTCGATGATTTTTCTTCCAATTCTTCCAGAGAGAGCAATTCTTCCAATCACAGCGATAGTCAGTCAGAGGGGAATAGATCTCCATAGGGGAATAGAGTTAGAACGTTACAGTGCCCTCCTTCTTAGAGGTATTTAAATGGATTGCTTTAATTTTCATAAATTAAAATCTACATGATGTCTTCAATAAATGTTACTAAATATTGAAAACTATAGGGAAGATACATAAAAGAATGTAAAAGTTCCATAATCCCCCTCAGTTTATCTTTTTCTACCAGTTTAATAGTTTGTGATTAATATAATCATAAGAGTAAGTGTGCATTGAATATGTATAAAAGCTATTGTTACGAATATGTACAGTATTAGTGATAATAACAAATAATAATACAGTTCTATTTCTAAAAATAATGTGTAATTAAAATCTTTTGTTATTCTTAAAAATTGTAAGACTTAGAAGTCGTAGTACCCATGTTTTTATTTATTGATAGTTCCTGATGTTTTAAAGCGATTACGTATTATTGAATCACGAATGTTCTGTTAATTACATATTTTAAGTTCCATGATTTAGTTAAGATGAATAAAATACTCAAAATAAAATGTTGTCACTTTTTTTAATGATTCATTATTTTTTCTAATATATATTACAGTAACATAAAAAAAAAATATGGGCAAAATATTAGTGTTTTGAAATGTACATATTTTTCAGAAAATACCAATTGAATGAGCAAGATCTGCGTATATATATAATGTTGTAATACCCATAATAAAAGTAGTAATAGCTTTAACAATAAGAGTTGACCATGGGCCAGTTAGAAAGAATACTATAAGAAAATCTAACACAAGCTGTCTGTAGATAGTAAGTATGAGCATGCTAACTACAATTGGAACCAAACCTCGTTTTAAGTCGTGCCTCGACCACAACCATACAAGTGTTGCCATAGTTATATGTTGTACCTGTACATATTAAAAGTGGAATGTTTAGCATAACATTTTCTATAAGTTACATAATTTTGTTATGTATATACTCACTAAATTAATATTAGACTCCAGACTCTTTTGAATGTATTTCCAATCAAATTCTGCACCTCTTGCTCCAACCCATAACAGCAGAAACCTAGTAAGCAACACTTCGGCTCCTGCCCATCCAACTCCGGCTGTTAAAACTTTTGCATGTCCTTTACCAGGGATGCTATTTAATACCAACAATATTCCTACTAAGTCTGCCAAATCTATAGATGATTTTAGAAATTCCTGAAAATTATATCTTGCTTGAAATATACAAATTATTTTTATTGTAGCAATGTTTAATGTCAATGAAAATATTATTATGTAAACACGTACACCAACTATATCAAAACCTTCTTCTCCTACATTGTCAGCTGTAGGAAAGAAAGTAGCAAGTGCTAACATTTTCACTAGTTGAGTGAATACATAAATACCTCCAGCTTGAATGCATTTCCAAAATGCACCGTACTCTGACCTAAAAATTCATATAACATTTTTAATAACTGTTGCATTGAAATATTAAAAAATTTGTAATGTAGTTAACACAATCATTTAATTTCTGTTCATTCATAATTAACGAAATTAAGACGAAACAAGTTAGGAAGTACACATAACCGCAATTAGAAATAGGTTAGAAAAAGTCAAGTATACTTACAAGCCTGAATATTTGTAAGTAAGGTAATATGGAACATATACCAAGGCTAAACAATTTCCGAAATGATATAATGTCATGTTTTTAGTGATATTATGTTTATTTAATTCATATATTAATCATTCTAAAATAATAAGGTGTTTATACACGAAAGGTGACTGTGCTATATAATATGATCATGTCGATAAGGAAAACTCCTATCTTTCCTTAGTGCCAAACTTTATAGTTTACGAAATAAGACTTTTTTTATATTTATTATTATTATTTTACAGTCTCTAAAAAACCTAAATAATAATTATATTCATATAATATTTCTCGTAACTTGAGCAATTTAATAGTTATACAAGAGAATGATAAACAGAGGTTATAAATATGCATTAACAACTTTTTTTTTTAAAGGTATGTCATAATAATTTGCTATATAATTTTTTTTAATATTATTATTTATATATTTATAATAACTGCATTGGAAAATTGAAAAGTTTCATTAATTTTACTCAAGAATTTTGGTATTGGAGGTTAGGTTTTACTTCTATTTTTAATGAGTTTATTATTTTATATTTCATTAACTGAACTTTGTTGTTCATCATTGTTTATAACAATAAATCATTTACTATTTCTGCCAATAATTTTATCTTTTCTCGTGCAATTAAAAGTAATTTAGAATATATGCATGCAATATTTACAAAACTTCAGTTATTTTGTTAAAAAGATGTTTGTATACAGATTTTACTTTCTGCAGTGAAATGCAACATGCAACTGGCACCCCACGTGGCATAAGAATTTTTTCTGCTACATTAAGTCACCCCTTGCATTTTAACCCCTTTGAAAGGGGTACCAGTCACCCCTTTTATCCCAAAAAAAGGGTAGCTGTTAAAAAAGGGTACTGCAACTGAAAAACTATTGACCAGTTTTTTATGTTTGTTTTCTGTATTCATAGTTATTTTATATGAAACTGCAGTTTTTTTAATACGAGTAGTTTGTTTTAATATATTTTTAACAAAATAATATAAATTTTGCAGGAAATTGAAAAAGGATTTCATGTGTATTACAGGCAGAGTATGGACAATTATTTCTTTCAGATGTAACTAGAATTTCTGGGACACACCCCCTTAGAGAAGGGGTTTAGACCATTAGAACGGACTATGCTTTATCTTTCTAACGTCACAGGCTATTTTATAGAATCCATCGTCCCTTTCCGTTCCTGATGGGAGATACTATGCTCCCTTCCTTTTTACTAGCCGGAGTTGGTAGGGAACACCCCTTTTGGTGTGGGATTTAGAATATTCCAATGGAGCATGCTCCGTCTCAAAGCCATCACAGTCTCTGTTGTCCCTCTCCAACGTCTGTGACGGAGAAGCTGCTTCAAGGGTTTGACTGGTGCTATTCCATGATTGGTCAGGGTTGTACTGGATATATCCTAACGTAGCTGTACTCCGTAGGATGTGGAGAAGGATGCTTCAGTTTAGCTAAAGCTACCGTTGAATGTACTTCACAGTGTGTTATTTGAATGGCAGTGTGAAGTGTTAAAGAATTTGTACAAGGTGATGTGTTGTTTTTTTTGTATAAACAAATTTGAATATTGTTTGCGTTAAACATTTGTTTATTAAAATTAGTTTTGTATAAATATGTACCAAATTAATTGAGATTTATAACATTTATTAATGTAGTTTAAATATATAGATTTTTTCTGCTTTCTGAAAAAAAATTCTTTCCTGTTTTGACTATTCAAATGCTTATGAGCTTTGATTAGATTATTATATCACAAGTTTAAATATGGTGTGCTGTATTTTAATTTTAGTTTTCATTAATATATTTGGCATGCATATTTTTTATATGATTTAGTGTATGCATTACATTAAGTTTTTATTGTTTAAACTTTTGTGAATTTTTATATAAAAAATTCCTAAAATACTGATTCAGTGTGGATCATTTCAAGAAGAATTTTATGTTTGCAGTAAATATCAGTGACGTACAGGAAAAGAAACAAAAAGAAAGAAAAGAGGTAAGTTAACAAATTTCAGTACGTTTTTATTATATGATTTGCAATTCATTTTTATTTTAAATAAATTTAAATAAGGAGTATAGATTCTGTGACGTTTTAATTACTGGAAGATCCGCTAGATGACGCCACTGGCCCATTATAAAATTTCACCGCGAATCTATTTTTATTTAGCATTATAAATAAATACTTATTTATAAATATTTTTCGGAACTGTGGTACTGTCTCGAATTTCGAGATTTTAGAACTTTAAAGCAGTAAATAATGTACAAAATGGCCTTTCAATAGGAAGCACTTTTTATTTTAAAAATGCTTTAACGATGAAACGTAAACGTTTGAAATATCAAAATCCTTTTGACTTTCGTGTACTTTTGAAGAAACTCCGAAAGATTTTCCGTAACCACTTGAACCACCCTCGTATCGTTTTCTTAATGCACGGGTTAAGGGACCGTTTGAGTTCAAAGAGAATTTCATCAGTATAGATATCCAAGGGTGGTACGATACATTCCCTCTCGTAAATCCAGACGATCTTTTTTCGTTTCCCGATCGAATTGCCCGCTCAGCAAAGCCGTGTTTGCATTTCTCTCTCCGGGGAGCTCCGACCGGGGTGGAGGCGCGCAATTTCGAAAAGCCGATTTCAATTCCGTTTCCTTTTACGCGGAGAAAGAAATCTCGAGTGCGGCCCTCCGAAGGGGAGTACGGTCACCCGGGATTACTGGAATCGCATGGACGGGGTTGGAAACACGTGCGAAAATCCCAAATCCTGACGTCTCTGCCCTATGCATCGATCGTTCTTTCCCTTTTTTGCTTTTAGACATTTTGCGTTATTGGGGCGTGCTCTTCATCCCCAAATCTTTGCTTTGAAACTTTCTTGAAACGTGGTCTCTAACAAAAATCTATGCGTTTTCAACTGATACGGTGTACTTTTGTTTCCACGTTTCTTATCTTTCTTTCTAAGTGTTCCTTTTTCATCAAGTCTCGCTCTTTTCACCCCCGCGGTGAAAAATTAGCAAACATCCATCGAGCCGATAATTTTCGAATAAAAGGATCATTGCAAAATCGAGACAATCAAAAAAATCCTCGTTGTTCGACACCCACGTTTACATCGAGATGGTGCTAATGACTACGAAGAAGAAAAAAGGGGGAAAGAAGAACGATTAAAGATCGTAGACAAGCGAGGCTACAATGGAAATCGTGTCTGGGTCAAGATACATCGGATGCCACTTTTACGGTTCGTGTCGAGGGATACTAAAACTAATGTATTCATGAGATAATTATTTCTTGCATTCATTACGGGGCTGTAAAGTTTTTATTGGGCTGGCCTCGCGAGCACGGAGCACCCTTATACAAAGTAGAATCCACTTTCTTTCTCTCTTCGTTTACGACACATTTAAGGACAGTACTTGGCGAATCACGTGGCTGTATCGATAACCAAACTCCTACCGTCCGACACGATATCACCGCTGCTAAAAGCATTCTTTAATAATATTTTTTAAGACCATGAGACCATTTGTCGGCGACGGAATAAAATTTCAATTTTCAGCGTCTATTATACACTTATTCTATTTAATATCGTATGCATAATTAAATTAATGATTAAATTAGCATAATGTACGTAATAAATTATTTTTACATATTAATAATGGTCGTTGAGTTAAAAAAAAATATGTATATAGGCTAAATATATGTACACGTTTATGACTGAATTTCTGAAGAATTCATTTGGTGAAATAGAATAAAAATTTCATTTTTTATATTAGACATATATTATACATATTTCACTTATTGAATTTAATATTATACACACAATTAAATTATTCAGTTGAGTTAAAAGGAGAACTTACTATATGTACGTGTTTGTGTTTGAATTTCTGAAGAATTCATTTGGTGAAACAGAATAAAAATTTCATTTTCTGCATTAGACATATATTACACATATTTCACTTATTGAATTTGATATTATACACACGATTAAATTATTCAGTTGTTGAGTTAAAATATCTTACTATATGTACATGTTTGTGTTTGAATTTTTGAAGAAATTATAGTGACTTCATCTTAATCTTGCAGTCACAAAAATGTCACTAATACAATGATGTTAATAATGTTCCTCATAAGAATTGAGTGGCATCGAAATTCCGTTAGAAGTATCCGCGAATCGATACGTCGCGCCATCGCGCAAAACTCGAAGCAAGAGAAAAGTGGAAAAAGAGGGTGGCTGTCCCAGAAGGACGAGTACGCGTACGGAATATCAAGGAGCAGAGGAACGTGTAGAACAAAGGGTGTTATTCCTTCCGGTACCGCTATCAAACAGGGAAAGATACATCAACCCGTGTCGTATAAAAATGTGTTTATGCGTTGCACACGGTGAATGAGAAAAAGCGTCGGAGATTCACTCGGCAGCTGGTACCGGAACATTCTTCATGTCGTTCCTTCGATTTCGAAGGTGAATGCGAGAAATATCAAGAAAAAGTTGACGCACACGGTATTATATTTTCTTGGTGGATAAAACGAACGAGATATTTCGGGGACTGTCAGTGACTGGAGACACAAAGATGAGAAGAAAAGAAAAAAGGGGGCAGGGAAGAATAGAATCGACGGGGCGAAAATCGCGCGGACCGGAAGCGGAAACGAACCTCATCGTTATACACCGCCGTGACGTCACTGGCGAATTTACGGCTTCTTTGGAACTTTGGTATGGCGTGGAGGTTTTTGTAGGGATATCTGGGGTGTTCTGGGGATTTGAGGCGCTGGGAATTTGAGGATTTTGGAATTTGGGACGGTGGGAATTCGGAACGCTGAGAATTTGGGATGCTGGGAATTCGGAACGCTGAGAATTTGGGACGCTGGGAATTTGGGGTGCTGGGAATGAGGGACGCTGAGAATTTGGGACGCTGGGAATTCGGGACGCTGAGAATTTGGAGATTTTGGGATTTGGGACGCTGAGAATTTGGAGATTTTGGGATTTGGGACGCTGAGAATTTGGAGATTTTGGGATTTGGGACGCTGAGAATTTGGAGATTTTGGGATTTGGGACGCTGAGAATTTGGAGATTTTGGGATTTGGGACGCTGAGAATTTGGAGATTTTGGGATTTGGGACGCTGAGAATTTGGGACAACGCTGGGAATTCGGGACGCTGAGAATTTGGGGCGCTGGGAATTCGGGACGCTGAGAA